GGGGGCTGGCTGTTAGGGGACAGGAGTGGTTTAGATTAAAAAACCTGCCTTAAATCTCACTGGTAAAAATGCATAAATTCACACATTCTTATGCAGTTTTAGGGAAAACAAAATTTCATTTGCATCCTCCCCATGATATTTTTCCTTCCAGAATCTGTCTATATATGTTATATTGCTAAAAATCTCTTTGGACATTTCTCCTTCTTGGGTGCTCCATCCCTGTCGCAGGAACATATTACCTGTCTGACTTACCCTTGCCTCCAGTTGTCTGACATACACCATGTTGTTGACTACTTTTGGCAGGTTCTGACATACACCATGTTGTTGACTATCTCGGGCAGGTTCTTCCCCTTTGGTACCCCTGTTCTCCCCCTCTTAATTCCCTGTCTGACTTACCCTTGCCTCCAGTTGTCTGACATACACCATGTTGTTGACTATCTCGGGCAGGTTCTTCCCCTTTGGTACCCCTGTTCTCCCCCTCTTAATTCCCTGTCTGACTTACCCTTGCCTCCAGTTGTCTGACATACACCATGTTGTTGACTATCTCGGGCAGGTTCTTCCCCTTTGGTACCCCTGTTCTCCCCCTCTTAATTCCCTGTCTGACTTACCCTTGCCTCCAGTTGTCTGACATACACCATGTTGTTGACTATCTCGGGCAGGTTCTTCCCCTTTGGTACCCCTGTTCTCCCCCTCTTAATTCCCTGTCTGACTTACCCTTGCCTCCAGTTGTCTGACATACACCATGTTGTTGACTATCTCGGGCAGGTTCTTCCCCTTTGGTACCCCTGTTCTCCCCCTCTTAATTCCCTGTCTGACTTACCCTTGCCTCCAGTTGTCTGACATACACCATGTTGTTGACTATCTCGGGCAGGTTCTTCCCCTTTGGTACCCCTGTTCTCCCCCTCTTAATTCCCTGTCTGACTTACCCTTGCCTCCAGTTGTCTGACATACACCATGTTGTTGACTATCTCGGGCAGGTTCTTCCCCTTTGGTACCCCTGTTCTCCCCCTCTTAATTCCCTGTCTGACTTACCCTTGCCTCCAGTTGTCTGACATACACCATGTTGTTGACTATCTCGGGCAGGTTCTTCCCCTTTGGTACCCCTGTTCTCCCCCTCTTAATTCCCTGTCTGACTTACCCTTGCCTCCAGTTGTCTGACATACACCATGTTGTTGACTATCTCGGGCAGGTTCTTCCCCTTTGGTACCCCTGTTCTCCCCCTCTTAATTCCCTGTCTGACTTACCCTTGCCTCCAGTTGTCTGACATACACCATGTTGTTGACTATCTCGGGCAGGTTCTTCCCCTTTGGTACCCCTGTTCTCCCCCTCTTAATTCCCTGTCTGACTTACCCTTGCCTCCAGTTGTCTGACATACACCATGTTGTTGACTATCTCGGGCAGGTTCTTCCCCTTTGGTACCCCTGTTCTCCCCCTCTTAATTCCCTGTCTGACTTACCCTTGCCTCCAGTTGTCTGACATACACCATGTTGTTGACTATCTCGGGCAGGTTCTTCCCCTTTGGTACCCCTGTTCTCCCCCTCTTAATTCCCTGTCTGACTTACCCTTGCCTCCAGCTGTCTGACATACACCATGTTGTTGACTATCTCGGGCAGGTTCTTCCCCTTTGGTACCCCTGTTCTCCCCCTCTTAATTCCCTGTCTGACTTACCCTTGCCTCCAGCTGTCTGACATACACCATGTTGTTGACTATCTCGGGCAGGTTCTTCCCCTTTGGTACCCCTGTTCTCCCCCTCTTAATTCCCTGTCTGACTTACCCTTGCCTCCAGCTGTCTGACATACACCATGTTGTTGACTATCTCGGGCAGGTTCTTCCCCTTTGGTACCCCTGTTCTCCCCCTCTTAATTCCCTGTCTGACTTACCCTTGCCTCCAGCTGTCTGACATACACCATGTTGTTGACTATCTCGGGCAGGTTCTTCCCCTTTGGTACCCCTGTTCTCCCCCTCTTAATTCCCTGTCTGACTTACCCTTGCCTCCAGCTGTCTGACATACACCATGTTGTTGACTATCTCGGGCAGGTTCTTCCCCTTTGGTACCCCTGGTCTCCCCCTCTTAATTCCCTGTCTGACTTACCCTTGCCTCCAGCTGTCTGACATACACCATGTTGTTGACTACCTCGGGCAGGTTCTTCCTCTTTGGTACCCCTGTTCTCCCCCTTTTAATTACCTGTCTGACTTACCCTTGCCTCCAGCTGTCTGACATACACCATGTTGTTCACTATCTCGGGCAGGTTCTTCCCCTTGGGTACCCTCATGCCTCCCCCTTCTTAATTCCCTGTCTGACTTACCCTTGCCTCCAGCTGTCTGCGATACACTATGTTGTTGACTATCTCGGGCAGGGTCTTCCCCCTTTGGTACCCCTGTTCTCTCCCTCTTAATTCCCTGTCTGACTTACCGTTGCCTCCAGTTGTCTGACATACACCATGTTGTTTACTATCTCGGGCAGGTTCTTCCCCTTTGGTCCCCCTGTTCTCCCCCTCTTAATTCCCTGTCTGCCTTACCCTTGCCTCCAGTTGTCTGACATACACCGTGTTGTTGACTATCTCGGGCAGGTTCTTCCCCTTTGGTACCCCTGTTCTCCCCCTCTTTATTCCCTGTCTGACTTACCCTTGCCTCCAGTTGTCTGACATACACCATCTTGTTGACTATCTCGGGCAGGTTCTTCCCCTTTGGAACCCCCATGCCACCCCCTCTTAATTCCCTGTCTGACTTACCCTTGCCTCCAGTTGTTTGACATACACCATGTTGTTGACTATCTCGGACAGGTTCTTCCCCTTTGGTACCCCTGTTCTCCCCCTCTTTATTCCCTGTCTGACTTACCCTTGCCTCCAGCTGGCTGACATACACTATGTTGTTGACTATCTCGGGCAGGGTCTTCCCCTTGGGTACCCTCATGCCTCCCCCTTCTTAATTCCCTGTCTGACTTCCCCTTGCCTCCAGCTGTCTGACATACACCATGTTGTTGACTATCTCGGGCAGGTTCTTCCCCTTGGGTACCCCCTTGCCTCCTGGCCTCTGCCCAGTCCGTTTCTGGAAGTCATTCTCCACCTCCTTTATGTTTACATTCAGCTGACCCAGCAGTGTCTCTCTGTAATTGTATACATTTTTATGATAAGATATATGCTACCTTGCTACAACAGAAACAAAAGAGTTCCTTAACAAAAATATAACTTGCTTTCTATTTTCATTTGCAGATATTTCTTAGCACTTTTTAAGCGTATAGGAGAGTACAGACTTTTTTTTTCACTGAACTCTATATCTGGCCCTTACCTTTCGGACACCATTTCTTTGTTGATATTCGGTCGTTTGATGAGTTCCTTATATCGTTGAAACTCTCTCAAAAGCTGAAACAGAAAGGTTAAGGTTTCAACCATTTACATGCATTCAGACATTTGCTAATTTTAATGCATTTACTAAATTTAACATTTTTACTTCAAGGCAAGACTTTTTATGGAATGTAAGTGACGAAATATTTAATTAAACAGATATCCTGTACATTATAATCCTTCTGCTTATAGAACCACTTTAACAGAATGCTTGGCTGTGTGTTCCTCTTTCCGCCTTTTGTAAAATACAAAATACCTTGTATTGTTTCTGATGATTTCTTAACATATGATGTCCAGTATTTTTGGGGGGGGGGGACTTCTTGGGGCCGACAATGGGCCCCATTCCCAATTGAAACTATTTCATATTTATGCTTAATTCCCAAAATTTGCTGTTTACTCCAGAAACTTTCCTTCCTAATTTGTAAATTGTATTGGCATTTTCTTCCCAAAGGAACGGGGGGAAATGATGTCTCATAAAAAGAGCAGTGTAAAAATTAGAAGATTATCAAAACTTTCAACAAATTTCTCTCTTAATTGGAACAAGGTATAAGGTATTGGTTTAGCTTCCCTACCTGTTGTGGGTAGCCCTCCAGAGCTTTCACTAGGTATAAGGTATTGGTTTAGTTTCCCTACCTGTTATGGGTAGCCCTCCAGAGCTTTCACTAGGTATAAGATATTGGTTTAGTTTCCCTACCTGTTGTGGGTAGCCCTCCAGAGCTTTCACTTGGTATAAGATATTTGTTTAGTTACCCTACCTGTTGTGGGTAGCCCTCCAGAGCTTTCACTTGGTATAAGATATTGGTTTAGTTACCCTACCTGTTGTGGGTAGCCCTCAAGAGCTTTCACTAGGTTTAAGATATTGGTTTAGTTACCCTACCTGTTGCGGGTAGCCCTCCAGAGCTTTCACTAGGTATAAGATATTGGTTTAGTTTATATGGGGTAGCCCTCCAGAGCCTTCACTAGGTATATCTATTGGTTTAGTTTCCCTACCTGTTGTGGGTAACCCTCCAGAGCCTTCACTAGGTATATCTATTGGGTTAGTTACACTACCTGTTGTGGTATAAGATATTGGTTTAGTTACCCTACCTGTTGCGGGTAGCCCTCCAGAGCTTTCACTAGGTATAAGATATTGGTTTAGTTTATATGGGGTAGCCCTCCAGAGCCTTCACTAGGTATATCTATTGGTTTAGTTTCCCTACCTGTTGTGGGTAACCCTCCAGAGCCTTCACTAGGTATATCTATTGGGTTAGTTACACTACCTGTTGTGGGTAGCCCTCCAGAGCTTTCACCTGACTTCTAAGTTTGCCTGCGATTTTCTGCTCCACTGGAGACATGATTTTGTCATACTGAGCGACTGCAGCGTTCCAGAGAGGTGTTGTGTAGGGGTTGTATTGTAGAGGGTTCAGACCCACAAACGGGGAGAATGCATCAGTTGTACGTAGCTCCTTCTGTTCCTGGGAGCTCAACAGCTGTAGCTGCTGTTCGTGAACGATTCTCAATGTCAAAATCTGTGGAAAGAAAGGGTATTACTGCATTATACACAAAAGTTAACTGTTTTATATAGAAAATTCATATTTTGTATGAATATCTACTCTTTTCTTCATTATATCATGAAGTAATGTGAATAAACTAATAAAGCTAATTCGTTTATGGACAAAACGAAGTTATTTATAAAATTATCCTGCAAAATATATTTTTGGAAATCCTTCCTAAATGACGTTTGTTTCAATCAAATGAATTTCTAAAATTCATTTACTTCAATCATGAAAAATAATTGATTTTTTGACAATTGTTTTTATTCTCCCTTGCTTCTTCATTTTCCTTTCTATTTGAAAAGAAAGAAAATTTTGTTGAAAGAGTACATCTGAAAGTTTTATAAAGTCAAACCTCTTCTAATCGCTGTGCCAGCTTCTTTAGGTTATCTGGAGTGTAGCGTTCTCCTTTCCAAGGATTTGGTCGGAAGTTTTTCCAGAACTGAGTTGTCAAGGTTTCACACATTCCAACAAAGCGTTCACAAATGGCCACACCTGACCGCAGGGATTCCTTGACCTGGCCATAATCACCTTGCCAGATGTCTTCTTCCGCTAGCTTTCTCTGGACATACCGACCCAAGGAGCCACCTGATGTATATAATAATACATAGTTAGGAGCCAAGAAGATTGATATGACATGACTATACTACCTCAATACTACATGCATGCATCGTAGCTTGCACACAGGGGGGGCCGTCCTTAAATGACCATAGCTGTTGATAAGACGTTAAACAATACTAAACCAAACCAAACCTATACTACCTCAACACAATTTTAGGCCAACCTTAAAATTTCCTCTGTCTGGTATTGACTAACCCAACACATACGAAGTTTGGGTCGGTGTGTAAGAAAAAATAAATATTTTCTCCACAATAAATAGATTGTTAATAATAAACAACTCTAAGGTATTAAAGATAACAATACTTTATAAACTTAAAGCTTTAATATAAAACCATTATAAAGTATAAAAGCTAAATTTCAGCTTAAATTTTAGTTGTTATACCTAGCTACTCCCTCAAAACAAAAAATTAGTTTGTGAAAAAAAATTGGGGTCAGCACATAAATCGTCAGCGTCAGTCGGTCTATGCTAACAAACTTCATTTTATAGTTGGTCTTAGACTTTTACTTTGACTTTATCAGAAAAATAACATATGATTTCCATGAAAATTTACAGAATAACAATTTCAGGTCTGATTGTATATATTTGCCATGTTGTGAAACAAACCTATGATCTCCATGAGGTGTTTCATTCTATCCTCGGGATAAGGGTTCCTGTCTTCGCCCTTCCACACCTCGTCCAGTGTGTCCTGAGTGACTTCCACCAGTTCCATCACATCCTGGAGTCCCATGGCATCCAGTCCGCCAAACTCCTTAGAGATTGGCTTGAACAAGTCCACAAAGTTAGCTGCTCGCTCGCTACTTCTCGCCTGATCAGCCCAGTACTGGAATTCATCCGATGGACTCAGGATAGCTGCAACCATACATTCCAATACATGGGATGACTTAAGAATAAAAAGTTAGGAGATTTTTTTTCCCATTGGAAGGGAAATTCAGTTTTGGGTCGAGAGATTTTCATTATATATTTTTTTATGTTGAACTATATTCATAAATTAAGAGTTGTTCATGTAAACATTCACATTATTGCAACTTAGTAACTAAAAGTATGCAGTGTTCTTTCTAGGGTTTCAAGCACATTAATGCTAGTGTCATATGTCATAAACAGTTGATTCACGAAAGAATAGCCTGCTAGAAGTTCCTGAAAAGCAGGCAATCAGCAACAAGCTTTTAATGAGAACACTAGTTAATATATCAGGATATGGGCAACAATATCATAATTGTGTTTCAGCTTTAAAAAATATTTTTTATTTTGCAAAACAATTTTTAGTCAGGACTCAACAAATCTTGAATCAATCTGACCATTGGTAATAAGTAGTAAAAACAATAAAATTGGAAGAATAGTCCTTAACTTTTTATTCTGTCCAGACCATCTTCTTAAAAAAATATGCTTACATCCCAAATTGTCGCCATCCTTTGACTTGCCAGTGAAAGAAGCGTCCTGCTTCCTAATGGCACTCCCCAGTCCAGCCTCAAGTTCACTTATCAGGCTTTGTAGCTTCGGGTCAAGATTGCGACTCCATTTGCCATCTTCTAGAAGCAGTGGAGCATAAATCTTCTGGACAGCATGATAGAGAGTGCTGAGTGGGGAGTCGACCATTGTAGATACAATGATGTTAGTATGTAAGTCATCAGGAGTTATCACATCAGGACGGATTTTAAAGAAAACAATCACTTTTTCTTTCTGGTCATTAGGTTCAATCTGAAAATTAATAAAAAATATATTTACCCAAAGCACTGTAATAACAGCAAAGAAATATGATGGGAAGATACTGCCTTACTGGCAAACTAGCTTATCCAGTAATGTGTATATAATAACCCTGGGTCGTGCTGATCACTAGTTCAGCGAGGTCGAAAGTGGTCAGTGACTCCATGAATGGGTGCAAGCGTGCATGTTACAGTATATTCCTCTGTCAAGACACAGCTATGTTGGAACACAAAAGATTGTAGATCTAGCAATATGGTCCAATTAAAAACTTCTACTGTACATTATACATTGTGTAGCTCATACACGTCCAAGTTTAATTAGCACTCACATGGAGAGTATTGGACATGAGCTGTAGGTGCTATACTTTGACCATATAAACCTACAGAATGTTCATCTCCTGTTTTTCAAATGAAATACAATGACAAAGGCACTCACTCATTCTTACACAGAAACAAATGACACATTTAAATGACAACTTATAAACTGAAGACACTTATGACTGTAGTTTACATGTACATTTCCTACAGATATAACCTTGTTTGATAAAAGCAAACGTCTCCCACTTGTCCTAGCATCAGGTCTTGCCACCAACACTGAGACATTTCCATCGTCAAGGAAACTATTCATCGACGGGGTTTCCCCTAGAGTTGTGATGATGCCATCAGTGGGTGGCACGCCAAAATAATTGGCTGTTGTTGCCAACAGGTATTCCTTCCTTGAATCCCCTCCCGGCATTTTGGTGTCAATTGGATATCAAATATTCCTGAAAAGAAATGAAAAAAGACGTTTTATAGTCCCTTGCCATGAATGATGAAGTGGTTTGGACAATCAGTGAGTATGTTACATTCCAGAAAATAAATCAAAGCATTTTAATTTTACAAATATCTACAGCTTGAATTTTCTGAACAATACATCATTTCATAATACACATCAAAACAGAAAAAAACATAGCTTGACAGAATGCTAGATATATATCACATAGACCTTATATCGTTTACTGTACAGCACAGTGTTTACATGAAAATCCCAGAACTACATAAATTTGTTAGAGTACAGAAATATAAGAGTGGCAGTAATTCAATAAAGATTGCCTTATTTAACTTTCAGGATTATTATTCATTATTAAGATAAATCCTCAAATTACGCTTTTCAATAAAACAGAACTGCCTTCTAAATTTTAAACATATAAAAAGAATATTTCTCACATAATTCTTACAACATGTGAAGCAGCTTTCACTTGCCGAGGAATGCAGCTCCAGCAACGATATAACAAATATTTTGGTTGGTTGATCCGGACGCTACTAACGATTGACCAATGAATGCGACGTTTATAACACAGTTCGGTTGAAAGGCAAACCTCGATCCATACGTCTTTCAACGTCCGGTAGGGAGGGAGGTTGAACCACAGGTTCATTTCCGTTCCGCAAACGCTGCAGCAAAGAAACGGCTGTAATAGCAATTTTGACGTATTTTTTGGTTTATGGTAGGTATGAAAGGCGGCATCTCCATATTTTAATATTTGTTCTATACATGTGCATGAAACTTAATGCAATTCAGAAGTCGGTAAAGTGGGTATTCTCGCCACAAACTTTTCCTGAAATTTCCTGATGATTTCTCTTTGAGTTGTCAGACGAATGACCCTTGCAGGTTCAAGTGTCATCTGAAAACTCAGAAAGTTCATTGAAACTTGACCAGTTAATGTTCATAATGAGTCGTAGAACTGTATTGATTTTTATTCAAATTCCATACAGTCGATTTTGACTTGCTGTTGTCTGAACTTGTTTATGTAATACGGAAACTGAGTTTATCCATACTGAATAAGCGCCAGTCATTTTTCAATCTTCACGAAAGTGTTCACAAAGTATTTTGTACCATTTTGTCGTACCCTTTTGTCGCATAATACTCTAAATTTTCATAAAATTAATTAATTACTAAAGTTCTGTTGTTAAACAGTCTTAAACACAAAATATGTCTCAATAATCAAAGACGGATCAAAATGTCCTAACCAGCATTTATTTTGAATGATGAAATGAAAACGGGCTCTTTGAATGGTTGTCTTTTCATCTGAGAAAATGTCTAATTGTACATAGTTTTGCAAGAGAGGCTTTGATACCAAATGCAACTGTATGTTATATCCTGTATAATAAACAGATTCATTGATGGTTGCCAATGGTTATGTTAGAATCTAAAGAGATAACTGTTACATATCAGTAATAAATAAAGTGTATAAGAGGAAGTTTACCAATTTTCAACTGACAGGGTTGAGATGTTGACAGGATATTCTTACTTAAAACATGCTGAACTTCAGCAATTATACATATTTCATTCAAAATAATCAAATCATCTTTTGAAAATTCATCAAAATGACAAATGGATACTTGTCCTTACAAATTCACTGTAGCTGCATGTGTTGGTTAAAGAAATGATTATTTGCCTGTTCCAGGACTTTCAGTAGACCTTTAAGAGTATGTTTGATTTAAATAATTGTTTTTGCCGCCCAAAAAACAAATTCACTCTTTCTGAAAGGTCACAGATATGTTTTGACACTCCAAATTTCATTTTATCATCACATATTTGATCAATTAAATTCTATTAATGTCAATTCAGGGTCGACTGAAAGCTCTTGAGTCACATATAGATTGATAAGAAAAACTCAGATGTAGTCTTAATTGATGTCAGATATATGGTCACTTTAGATCAGTTGTTAAGTTGTAATTTGTAAACAAATTAATCAGAAATAACCAGGTAATGTTGAAAACCAGGTATTGGTTCAACATTACCAAGTATTTCATAATAAATGTAATTTATGGATTGTTTTAGGTATTTGTCTTTTGCTTCACCACTGTTACAGTCTGGAGGAAGATAGAGAGTGTGGTCCTCCTCTGCAGAACAAATTTACAACCCTGGTAAGTATTGTTTTACTGATAGTTTTATAGGATTTAGATTAAATAAGGGATATACAGGAATGTCAAATGGTTTTGAACTTATGAGCTCAGGACTGAAGTTACTATAACAGTGACAAATCCAGAAATGTTATATATATTTTCCTGTTTGGAATGTCCCTATTCCCAAATCCAGTTGTTGCTCTGTATCTACATAAACGTATGTATATCACTTAGAAACTGTTCTGTGTCAGCCAATAACTAGTCCTTGCAAAATACTATTTTCTCTCCCACCTCTATTGCATGTAAGATAGATACATGTATCCAGGACTCCCCTGGCGTGACTCTTATGTAGGATTGGTGCACTCTGTGACCTTAACTATTATGATGTCACCACCTCAGGAACATATAAGAGTTGAATTTAAACTATGCCTTTGGTATACTGTATTTTTTTATCTTTCCAAATATAACGAGCGTCATGGGAGTAGTCACCCCTCCAATAATAAATGGAATTCAAGAGGACAGGCATGATACAAGATCATTGCTGGAAAACCAAAACAACGGTCTTCAGAGTCTTGCTGATGAATTCCAAACTACGATAGATGCAGGAGTACAGTCCTGTAATGGGGCACAACATGAGTTCCGTAATGAAACACACCCTAAGTTCCGTAATGGAACAAACCCAGAGTTCCGTAATGGAACAAACCCAGAGTTCCGTAATGGAACAAACCCAGAGTTCCGTAATGGAACAAACCCTGATTTCCGTAATGGGACACACCCCAATCTCCGCAATGGAACACAGTTCTGTAATTGGACACACCCCAAGTTCCGTAATGGAACAAACCAAGAGTTCCGTAATGGAACACAGTTCCGTAATGGGACATCTCATGATTTTTGCAAAGGAAACCAATCTTGTGACGAGTCATACAGAAGACCGCCTCAAATGGACAGGTACCAGGACATTTCTGAAAATGCTCCACAGTATAGACCGGAGGCATACAACAGAGACAACAGAACCAATACTCGGCCGCATTTTAACTAATAAAATGCTAAACGCAACTTCTAAAGTAATTTGACAGACTGTTCACATTACATGACTAAATCTGTATGCAAAGATAGTTATCTGAAAAATATAAGAAAACTAAGCTCACATTATTTTCCGTGACAATATCCAATTCAGGACCATTGTAACAGTTATAGAAAAAGACACTATCAAAACTCTTAACTGTTAAAAAGTGTACCTTCTAACTCGAGATGTCTCGCCTGACCCAGTCTCAGACTTGGCTCCAACTGACTCGTTCAAATTATGCATCACCTTTCATAGTGACATTTGCTGCACTACAAAATAATAATGCAATGTTCATGCAGGCAACCCAAAAGAGCAATATTTACACGATATAATCCCGGAAATATTACTATAATTTTACAATATATTATATAATTTCCATCAATATAATTAGGCTAAATTATAGTACGAACGAACCGGAAGTGACCCGCAGTCAAAGTAAACAACTTTAACGGACATGTTTGCGAGGGGAAATGCACAACAGAAATTACCGGCATAACGCTTACAAGTCACTAGGCGCGAAGATATGACTTCTGTCCTAGAATATGGATATTTAAAATGAATACAGATAAGTTTCTAGAACATACAATAGGTTAATGGAACGGATATCTATTTCCACTTGTCTTAAGTTACACAGTGAATACTTTTAAACACATTGTCTGTAATATGTTTTACTAAAATTTTGAAGTGGGAGAATAAAAAAACTTCAATCGTTATGTATGTGGGGTGTGGAAATTCTACCCTCGGGTGCAGAATTTGGTGCCAGAACCTTGACAAACTGTTCTTACCCAAAATTTATATGCCCAGGGTGGAATTTCCATATCCCAATTACCTACATAATAGTTGACTCTCGATATATTAAGGATTTCTTACCAAAATTCTTGTATATGATGCTGTTATATTTATTATGAAAATGTTTCTTTACAGAGCATAGGTGAAGGACACACTTCACAGGAAGTGCTTGGTGGACAAGTGCATGAGAATTACTTCAGTATGCCCATAAGGAGAAAACGTTCATCACCTACAATGGAAGATTCTAGAACAAAGAAAGCAAGAGTTGCTAGCTGGTAAGCTTCTGAGTATTCTTATTATTTGAAAATATCCAACATATAGCTGTAACAATATTTTTATAAAATACTATAATGATGTATGAGGACACCCTGTCTAATCCATCCAATATGTTTATGGTTCTGTTAGATTTGATATGAAAAAAAATATCAATTTAAAAAACGATTTTACCTCTCTGTTACAACTCATAAATGTATTTTAAAATGTATTCATAATTTGCTATTTCAGTACAGACTATAGATATAATGGATTTGGTACAAGCAACGTGTTTCGTTTTACATTGAAAACTGCAAAATACACAACTGGTTAAAAAACAAAAGCATGGTGTTCTTTCAGCAACAGAACGATGTTTTGTTTTAAGTTAAGCCATCTAGATATCTTGATATTTTGTTATGTTTACATCATATTCCATAATCATGTATTATAATATTCATCTTTAATTCACTCATGAATACATAATTCTTTAAAACAAATAAAAAAAATCACAGTACTCGGTAAAGAGTACATGTCACTACATGCTATTTATTATTGTGCCTTATTCAGAAACAAAGTTATTTGTAGTATTCAAACTTGGGTTTATGTTGTTTTGCATCCATTAAGCTAATTTGCTTATGTCAGAGACAAAAATTGACTTACATTTTTTTTGAGATGGAGACAAAATTAGGGAGGGGGCTTAATTGCAGGCACCCACCCTGTTCCCAGGACATTTACCAAAGTGGCGAGGGGGCTTATTTGCGAGAGGGGGTTTATTGGCGGTAATATATGGTAGTAATTTATCATTCATCAAAGTAATGAAGTGCCATCCAGGTATGTTAGCTTGATCATTCCCTTTAAGTACAGTTGTAATGTTATCCTTGTCTGGACACGTAGCATGTAACTAACAAATTATGGCTAATAGTTTATTTGTAATTTAACGTAATTAAAGATATAGGATATTGAGTCAACACCACAAGAACCATTGTGATATTCACTTCTCATTTACATGTTTCCACCTGCTTTGCGGCCATCATCGGGACCAATTTAATTTAATTGTAACAAGAAATGCTTGGCACTGGTTTCTTGAACAATTCAGATGTTCTCTATCTGATTATTATCACGTAATGAATACACAATTTTGTTTAATTATGCTAATACTGTTTATTCATCACTGATACAATGATTTATTGTTTGACCTTGTTTTGCAGGGCAAGAAAAGATGGAAGGTCATGTGATACAGATAGTGCTTTCAGTTCTAAACGATGTGTTGCCTGGTTCCATGAATACACAGGTAATTTTGGGCATCATCTTAATCAAAATATTTTGTCTTATCTGTCTCAAATCTCTTCATTTTAATATATTTAATGAGTGCTCTGATTAGTTGATGTTACTCTGGTATTCCTGAGTCGTATGTGTCAATTAACCAATCAGGCAGTGAATAAATAATAATATCCAGGGGTTTTGCAAATGCTCATTTACGCTCTCTGCACCCCTGAAACATGCCATGGACACACAGCTAGCTATTTGATTGGTCTCAGTTAAAAAAAAACAAATGCTAGGCTGATACCCATCCTTTGAAGATTACAGAGGAGATAAAGTCAACTTAAAAGCCAGTCACTTTTACTTTTACGCTTCCAAGGGATCCTTCTGATGTACATCAAAGGATAAAACTAGTCATCTTGTATCATCTTCAAAGTGTCACACAGTGAGCCTTTGATTTTGTTATGAACATATAGTCAAGGGTGTAGAGAGCATATCTATAAGCGAGCGTGATATTTAACAACAGCATTCAGAAATATTCGTATCAAGGAAGAACGCAACCGATATTGATTGACGACACTTTAATTGATTCATGCTACAAGTGTGAAAGGCATTTCTACACAGAATCAGGATTTTTTAAGGATTTTGACATGGATTTGTTGGCATAACCTAACACTTTCATAATTTGTTGCATTATGATTCAAAATCAGTAAACTAGTGTCTATCTAAATTTGGAACTTAGTGGTACAGACAATGATTATTGATGCAGAACTAGAATGAGGAAGAATTTGATCACACTTTATTAAACATATAATTTGAAATCGATATATACTCTTAAGTTTAAAATTCTACATTTATTGAGTTGATTGACTTTCAGAAAACTTGAAAGCCTGTTTGTACATTTTCCAGAAGTTCTTTCATTTTTAATGTTAGTTTGTCTTATGTTGTATAGGAAAAGAATGATAGTTGTAAGTCTTTCCTGTGTTGAAGGTGCTGATGAAGATGTACTAGGACCAGAAGGAATGGAGAAATTCTGTGAAGATATAGGTGTAGAACCAGAAAATGTAAGCTGTGCAAATTTTGACATTATCTAATATTGAGGAAAACAAGAAAAACTGGAAAGTCAGTTGCTGTTTTATACAGGAAAAATATTCTCAGAGATTAATAGATTGAAACTCGGCACTATGTTTAGGTCACCTGAGACAAAGTCTCAAGTGACCTATTGCGATCGCCTGTTGTCTGGCGTCCGTAAACAATTTACATTTACGACTTCTTCTCCAAAACCCCTAACCCAATTTCAATGAAATTTTGCAGAAACCTGCCATGGCCAAGGGTCAACTAAAATTGTGAATTTCTTGACCCTGGGGTCTCACGTTTCCCCTTGGGGAGGGAGTAAACTTTACTATAGTTTATATAGGGAAATCACATTTTGGACCAACATTTGTTTAATTACCATTGGAAGAAATTCAATTTAGGTTAGCATTATCAGTATTGGGTAGCAGTTTGATAGTATGCACATATGAGCCCTGACTGACCCCCCGGGGCTGATGGGTGGGGCCAAAAAGGGTCAAATTGACTGAAATTGACTGAAATCTTCTTCTCAAGACCCAGATATGGTAGAATCAAATACTCTTCATAGATGGAAGGGTCTTAAGGTGCTTTACTAAAATTGTGAATTTCTTGACCCTGGGGTCTCACGTTTCCCCCTGGGGAGGGAGTAAACTTTACTATAGTTTATATAGGGAAATCACATTTTGGACCAACATTTGTTTAATTGCCATTGGAAGAAATTCAATTTAGGTTAGCATTATCAGTATTGGGTAGCAGTTTGATAGTATGCACATATGAGCCCTGACTGTCCCCCCGGGGCTGATAGGTGGAGCCAAAAAGGGTCGAATTGACTGAAATTTCAAAAATCTTCTTCTCAAGATGGAAGGGGTTTTAGGTGCTCTACCAAAATTGTGAATTTTATGACCCTAGGGTCTCACGTTTACCCCTGGGGAAGGAGGGGGGGGGGGGGGGGCAAAATTTGTTATGGTTTATAATGGCAAATGATACTAGTTTGAATATTACATATTGATAACTTGATTGGAATTATAACCCTAAGTTGACAGTTTGATACTTTGAAAATTTTGAGCCAGCCCTACCCCCAAGGGATGTAGGGTGGGACCCAATGAAGTCTGTGTGCTAAAATAAAATTTCTTCATTTTCCTTGTTTAGAATCAGAGGTGCTAGTTTCAAATACTTTTCAGTCTTAAATCTGCATGCTAGATATTGAATAAGGTGGTTTTATTGTTTTTGTCACTTTGAATAATATTTTTGTTCGTGTTAAAAACAAAATCAACTCTCTGTATAAATATATCAGGTGACCGTTAAGGCCCATGGGCCTCTTGTTTAGCTCTTGTTAATCGTATATTGTCAGAGGCTTGTAAAAATTGAAACTCACTTGTTTCAAAAATCTCATAAGATAAAGAAACTCATGTAAGTTGTTTTTCTATCTATGTCAGGATATATAAAGTTTAGAAATGTAGATATAATGTGTTTTGAAATTTTCTTATTTTCACTTGTTTCTTTCTGACAGATTGTGATGTTATCACTAGCCTGGAAACTGGGTGCCAAAAACATGGGATTTTTCACAAAAGCAGAATGGTTGAAAGGAATGACAGAATTACAGTAAGCTTTTTAAGTTTGTTCAGATACTGGTATATAATGATGATGTGGGAACAAGAAGGCTAAGATGTCAGTATTTGTTTATGTCGTGAGATATAGAGCACATGTACATTTTCAACTGAATTATCAAGATATTAAATGGTTTTGAGGAATTTTAACATAAGTAATTTTTTTAATTAAGATGTCTGTAATACCCTATTTTTAACAATGAAAGTGTTTTTCACTTTTATTTCAAGACTTTATTCTTTTGGTGTTTGCTTATGATTCATGTGTACAGTCAAATTTTATTTAAAAGTGAAAAGTATGTATTTTTGTAAAGGGAAGTGGGCAGCAGTTGAATCAAGGGAGGAAACCCTGTTTGCCAGTTTATTCGTAGTTGCTGTTGTTTTGTAATTACAGATGTGACTGCCAGAGTAAACTACAGATGCAATTAGATTATTTACGATCAGTTTTGGATGATCAAACACAGTTTAAAGGAATTTACAGATATGCATTTGATTTTGCTAGAGTAAGTATGAAGTGCAGTAAAACCTGTCATTCAGCACCACTCCTACAATGGTCATTACCTACATAGACCATCATCTATAAAGAACCATTTGTCTGTGGATATTTTCCTTATTATTTTCTCAACATGAAAAACACACATTTTCACACTGCGTAATTTTCCACTTTCATAGCATATGTTAGAGAGGAGAGATAGTTTTGATAACAATTTCAGTAGCAATCGGGAATACGGGTTACACTTTTTGAGGTAATAGAGAATGAAAAGGGTTAAAACTTTATTAAGGAGCGAGTATAAGGTGAACTTTGAAAAGCAAGAAAAAAATGAAGTTACATGGGGTCAATTTTAGGGAGATCTACTCCTTATGGTGATGTATTTATTTGAATTATGTCATTTCCTTGTTTCCGCTGATCAGGACAAAGACCAGAGAAGTATGGACATAGACACAGCTAAGGCCATGTTAGCCCTGGTGTTGGGGAAACACTGGTCACTGTTTGGCTCCTTCCATCAGTTTTTAGAGGTAAGTAAACACTGAAGGTCTCTGTTCCATTCCCTACACCGTCCTAGTGATTTTATCTTCAAACAAAAAATCATTAATCAAAGTTATTATCATTTTTCAAGTAAAATTTTTATATTTAAAACAATGTATTATGTACTTAAAAATCTGAATTATTTTTTTACTTTTACTTGGTTGTTTTCTTTACAGCAATCTAAATACAAAGTGATAAATAAAGACCAATGGTGTAATATACTGGAGTTCAGTAGAACCATTCTTCCTGATCTGTCAAACTACGACGAGGACGGAGCATGTGAGTAGTACATTTTAACTATTTTAGTGATATACTGAGTTGGAGAAATGTTCTCCCAGATCTGTCTAACTATAATGTTATGATGTCATGTTTATTGGTTTTTTCTGACATTGAAAAGGATTTTATTATACGAGAAATACACAAAATATGTTACATAAAAACAATTATATCAAGGTAGCAGTGTACAGTAGCGTACGGTGGCCTTGGGTGATATTTTTGTACAATGAATAACCCCTGTAATATTACATGTATCAAAAGTAAAAAAAAAAAACAGCTCTAAAATTGGCATATACATGATGAATTGGACTATGTGGGCTTCACATTAAAAAAAAAATCGAATTTGGCTTGAGACTACATTTTTGGCCATTTACAAATCTGTGTCTACACAACAAAAGCTAGCTTTTCATGTAGTCTATTTTTGTACTCTGCGCATGTGTAAATATTGTGTAAAATCCAGTTGAACGACCTATGCTAAAACGTGAGTATTTCTGTTTGAGTAGATGATATTTAATTTAAGACAGGTTTTAAGAAAAAAAAATACTGCTTGCGTGGGTCAAATTTTGGGTTAAAAATTATCTTTTTTTTTGCATTTTTTGGCGTTTTTTGATGTGGTAACCGTGGTTTTCACAAGTCCCAAATCTGGGGAAATCACTTGTTGAAAAAGAAATCATTCTTCTAAAAAAACCGTATTCGAAATGTAGTTTATAAATACATATATATATATATTAAAAATCAGAAAAATTATCTTTATGGAGGAATAAATAATATATAAAGAAAAACTCTTAACAACAAGTCTTTAGTACTTTCATCTCTTCTAGGAGATTCTTCAGACTGTTTATTTGAAGTATTATATATATATATGTACATGTAGGTGTGTTGTGCAGGATGAATCCGCTATCCATGTTTATCCGAGACATGCCCTTTTTTTAGGGTCAAGCCATTTCTACTGTACTCACCTACCCAAGTAGCACAGTTTTCATATTATAATTGATATAAAACATTTTAATAGTTTGGTTGCTTTACAAATATACTGAGTTCAATAGAATTGTTCTTCCAGATCTATCTTAACTATAATGTCTCAATGTCATCACGTCATGTTTATTGCCTTATTCTGACATTGAAAAGGAATTTATTATACGAGAAATGCACAAAATATTTTACAAAAAAATATTAATATCAAGTAGCACAGTTGTTATACAATAAATATAAAACACGTGCTAAACCTGGCTTTTCATCATCACTCTATCTTGTATAATAAAAGCTATTTTCCTGTCCCACAGGGCCAGTGTTACTTGATGAGTTTGTGGAATGGTACAAGGAACATAGAAGTATGAACAGCTGATTCATTAACCAATAGAATTCAAGTATCTTCCATGAAGTGTGTTGTGATTGGCCGCTTGACAAGGATGTTTCTATTATGCAAATGAAGTGAGAAGAGGAGAGATGTGGGGAACTAAAGGAAGTGAATTCTGTGCGTGCTGCCTTTCAAGCAAGCTTGACATTGAGTGACTGGCCGAGAGCTTGGAGGACTGTGTGATAGTTACCTTATGTCATACATGCATGTTACCCATCACTTTTCATGTTCCTGTGTTTGTTATAGTTACGCCAGCATTGATAACAATACCAATAAAATCAATCCACACTGCAAATGACAGACGTTTCCGGGAGTGTTCCGGTGTATACAAAGTCTTGTGGTAGCCCCGCCCCATAAATGTTGTCGGGCTCTGATAAATGTTTTCATGTTTTGGTGAATGTTTTTTGGGCTATTATGAATCTTACCGGGCTGTGATTCGATATCAATATTTTAACTTGCTTAGAAGGAAATTTAGAAGTTAAACAATCGGTGAGAGAAAAGTTCTAATTTCAAACAGACATTTTCGTGTAATTTAACCGATTTTTTTATGTGGAAAGTTGCTACCAGTAGGAAGGGGGCAGAGTATTCAAATATTGTGTGATGCAGATACTGTTTAAGAAATCAATAGCAATAATGTGTTTCTCCGAATTCGTACACCAGCATTTAATTTTGTATGTCTACTAAAATATTTTTGCTCCGATTTGATTATTTTTACTGGGAAAAGGAAGAATATCGCAAACCTGGCAATAATTGTTCTGATTCATACCATTGATTTTCCACTGTGTAGCACTACTAGAAAATGTAGGTGACTTGCAGTCCACCCAGTGTCACACTGTTTACTGTTGATCCTTCCTGGGAAGTGCCATATTCCCAATATTAGATCTGTCTCGTTCACTGTTTAGTACCTTTGCTTACTCATTCAAAAAGCTTTTATTAGAGAGAAAATCTGAATTGAAATACATTTTTGAAATTACAACCGAGTTAAAATGATTTGCTTGTGTTAAATATAAAATTCAAAATTCATTTTTTTAAGGCTATTGTACTGATGTAGGTAGATTGTGTGTGACGTGGTTGTTTCAAGGAAAATAATCAAATAATTGCTTTTAATTGATATTGATATATGTCTACAAAATTCTTCACCCCAGGGTTTGTAAACTGTAAGACACAATATCAACAGATTCCTTGGTTGAGATTTGTTTCAAAATGTCAAGCCTCAACTGAGAAATATTGGAATTGATGGGAGAAAATAAGAAGGGTCAAATTATACAAATCAATGTGTGAGAGATATAAGCATGTGTGTGTACATCCTTTTGTTATTGGCCAAGTTATGTCTATACAATATACTTAATTGTAGATTATTTGTTTGTATACAGAAGACAGTGCTTTTACTTCAGGGCAATCCCAAATATGAATATAAGGGAGTGGAGGTGGAGAGGTACTTATAATAATCGGGGACATTCAATTCCACTAGCCAGACACTGGGGAAGTGGATTTTTAAAATGTTGGTGCTGGTGAACATTTTCAATATTTACTTTGAAATTATAGGTTGGGCCAGCAGAACTTTTAAAATTCAACATGCAGGCTAGTATTCTAAAAATGAAATTATGCACCCCTTATAATCATTAATATCTATGTGGTTTGGTTTTTGAATTAATAATTATTAACATTTGTACGGTAGGCCCTAGAGAAAAGTAATTGGGGTTGTGGGGCTCTAAAATGGTGATTCCTGCCTTCTCCCCCCATATATTCTTTGGAATAGCCCATTTGTAATAATTTATGGTTCCATTATACGGAGATGTTATAAATAAAACTATTTTGAATTTATCTTATTGTAATAAACTATGTTGTTGGGGTTTTTTTCAGGAAAAAAATATCTGTTTTGTAATTAGAGAGTATTTTATGTGCACAAGTTAATCATTCATTCACCCATTTGATTAGATACTTTGTGATTATAGATTCAATATCAAATATTATTGTATTTGTTCATAATCTATTCTGTATACTATCTTATGCAAACTTTTTTCTTTTTAATTATAATGTTGTTTAGATTTCTAGCATTCCTTCTCTAACACCTATTACTTTAGACCGAATGGAAAACCAATCGATTTTGAGAAATTGTTTCTTGCCCATATCTACCGGTACACTGTTTCAGCCAGGATTTGTTTTTGAAAAAGTGATGAACTTGGTGATATGATGCTGGCTTTACCCTTAAAATGCTTCAGTTGAAGCAGAACCAGTAGTTCAGCATGAATGGAAACTTACCCAATGTGTTTTACTTTCTGGAAATTAAAATTACCAGTCAAACTAAAAAGATTTTTTTCAGACAAATACTGTTGAAGTAAAAGTTTGAAAGCATTCTTTTCTCTTTTTTTTCCAATAAAATTCATTGTACAAGAAATAATTTTAGTGCCATCATACCATTACTAATCACCAGAGTGCTATAATATTGTATGTGAGTTTAGACAAAGTGTTTTAAATTTAGTCAGTTTCTTGTACATTTTGTATATAGATGTTTCTTTGTGTATTGATTGTGAAGGTTGTAGAAAAATGAATCTTCCTCAAATTTAACATGTGCTTGAATGCAAATGATGCAATGAACAGAAGAAGGTGAAGAATACTTGATGAATAGTGGCATTAGAGTAATGTAAGGGAAATGTTGATAGTTTATTTTCTAAGGGGTTTATAAGTAACAGGATCACAGTAGATAAATAATCAACTACCTGTAAAAATATTGTTCTTTAATTGATTGGAGATGAAGTAACTCAGACATGAAATGCTTTATTTTACATGATTATATTATTATTGAAGGCGTTGAATCACTTTCAGATCTACAGAAAAAAGTGTCTGAAATTAACAGTAGCCCCGTACATGCAACACTTGTGTGTCAGTGTAAAACTGAAGTTGTCTGTGTCATATGAATGCCACCGATAGTCTTTCTGCTCCGAAGTGTTATCAGGTTTCTCCTCAAAAAGTTTTCTTACTTCCAGATTTGAAAAAAAACCCGTGTTATTCTGACTTATCACATTTTGGTGGCCTGGTTGGTAGTGCACAGAGGGTCTTAATGAGGGGGGAAACTGGAGAACCTGGAAACAACCCACACTGTTGACAGGTGACCCAATACCTCATCACGTCAGATCTAGGAATCAAACCCTGGCCGTCTTGGTAAACGGCGAGGGTGCTATGAACTGCACCACCCGACCACCAAATTTCCCTGCCTTGTGTTCTTTTAGCACAAAAAGCATTTTATAGCTTTATATCCTTTCTTATGTTCGATCTGTTTCGGAAATGTCAGTACATGGTCCTATAGAATAACAAAGCAATAAATAGTAGTGTTTTAGAACAGTGGGTTTTAACACTTGTAAAGGGACCTGAAACACTGTTATCTCTTTTTTTGTTTTCTCTTCTCCTCAACCCTTTGAAGCAAACATTGATTAGAACTAGACAGAGTATGTCACCTATTTATAGACTTCCAAATAAGGTAACAAAGTATATTAACTATTTAGTGACTTCTGAATGAGGTAACTAAGTTTATCACATATTTAGTACTTCTGAATGAGTTGACATCAAAGTATATCACCTGTTTAATGACTTCTGAATAAGATGACATCAAAGTATATCACCTGTTTAATGACTTCTGAATAAGATAACTTTACAGTATATCACCTGTTTAATGACTTATGAATAAGATAACTTTACAGTATATCACCTGTACTGTTTAATGACTTCTGAATAAGATAACTTTACAGTATATCACCTGTACTGTTTAATGACTTCTGAATAAGATAACTTTACAGTATATCACCTATTTAATGACTTCTGAATAAGATAACTTTACAGTATATCACCTGTTTAATGACTTATGAATAAGATAACTTTACAGTATATCACCTGTACTGTTTAATGACTTCTGAATAAGATAACTTTACAGTATATCACCTGTTTAATGACTTCTGAATAAGATAACTTTACAGTATATCACCTGTTTAATGACTTATGAATAAGATAACTTTACAGTATATCACCTGTACTGTTTAATGACTTCTGAATAAGATAACTTTACAGTATATCACCTGTTTAATGACTTCTGAATAAGATAACTTTACAGTATATCACCTGTACTGTTTAATGACTTCTGAATAAGATAACTTTACAGTATATCACCTATTTAATGACTTCTGAATAAGATAACTTTACAGTATATCACCTGTTTAATGACTTATGAATAAGATAACTTTACAGTATATCACCTGTACTGTTTAATGACTTCTGAATAAGATAACTTTACAGTATATCACCTGTTTAATGACTTCTGAATAAGATAATTTTACAGTATATCACCTATTTATTGACTTCTAAATAAGATGACAAAGTATATCACCTGTTTAATGACTTCTGAATAAGATAATTTTACAGTATATCACCTATTTATTGACTTCTAAATAAGATGACAAAGTATATCACCTGTTTAGTGACATCTTAATAAGGTGACAAAGTATATCACCTATTTAGTGACTTCTTAATAAGGTGACAAAGTATATCACCTGTTTAGTGGCTTCTTAATAAGGTGACAAAGTATATCACCTATTTAGTGACTTCTCAATAAGGCAACCTAATAGTATATCACCTGTTTAGTGGCTTCTTAATAAGGTGACAAAGTATGTCACCTATTTAGTGACTTCTTAATAAAGTGACAAAGTAAATCACCTGTTTAGTGACATCTTAATAAGGTGACAAAGTATATCACCTATTTAGAGACTTCTCAATAAGGTGACAAAGTATATCACCTGTTTAGTGACTTCTCAATAATGTGACAATGTATATCACATATTTAGGGGCTTCTTAATAAGGTGACAAAGTATATCACATATTTAGTGGCTTCTTAATAAGGTGACAAAGTATATCACATATTTAGTGGCTTCTTAATAAGGTGACAAAGAATATCACCTATTTAGTGACTTCTCAATAAGGTGACAAAGTATATAACCTGGTTAGTGACTTCTCAATAAGGTGACA